CTTCATAACCATCAACTTCCACAGTCGAGCCTGCCACTCCTTGTCACTCCTTCAATTTAAATAGTTCATAATTTAACCCATACCCAACCATGTCCTAAAATAATCATTTGAAGTTTCTTCCATGAAATCATGGGTCTAAGAAACCATTAACCAACTATTACATCACTGTCAAGGTATCTGACCTTAAACAATCATGATTTATTTCTGTCTTTTAATTGCCAGTGTAAGGAAACACAGAATTGGCAGTTTCTCTTTCCATCTAACTTTTTCTTGGTTTGATCCATTGTAGAAACTAAAATGTAACATAATATACTGTTAAGCCAATGTTACCTGTTGAAAAAGAGGGCAATTTAGGAACAAGATCAGCAGCATCATTTGGATTGCGTCTTGACATTCTGACACTATCAACTACCTCAAGATCATCATCATCCTCGAAATCTTCAATGTCATCAACAGTCAATTCTCGAACTTCATTGGAGTCAGTCAATTCTTGAACTTCAGTGGAGTCAAAGGATTCTGACTTTGCTACACTTGCCAAGGATACAACAGGCGATGGTGCAAAAACAGGATTTGGCGCTGAAATAGGAACAGGAGGTGGTGCCCTTTTTGGAGGTGAACCTGAAGTTTCAGGTTTTGTGACCAAGAAAAACTCGTCTACTGAACCTGTATTATTCTGAAAATGACAAAAGAACTCAACTTTTAAACATAATATTCACTCATATTCTATATTTAACTAACAGGTATACCAAAGAAAACCACAGCCCAAATTTATCAAAATCCAACCTTGTGCAAAGCACATCTCATCATCCTATGCATTAGTTATCACTCAGCAAAAGAACAACAAAATCTACCACCATATTCCAGACTTAAAAACCAACCACATCATTAAATAACATTACATCAATGCCAACAACCAATACTAATTACAACCCAATAACTCTCTCATCATTGAAGCAATGCATAAAAATATCAAAACTTACCATATGGGGTAAGCCGGTATTATCATGGTAATCTCTTATAGCCTCCGAAAGTTCAAGCATTCCACCTACATTATCAAAAACCCATTAGAAAAAAACAAAACCAAACCAAAAACCACAAACTCAAAAACAAACAATACCTTTCTTAACACAATTGAGAACATAATCTACACTGACTTGGTCCAGATCCACGTCATCAAGTGTAACCGCACCAGGAGGCATTACAACTTTCTTAATTAAACTACCAGAAAGCATATAATCTAAAAGAACTCTCCGGTCCCTCCTGTATCTTTGTAAAAGCTCCAAGGCATTTTCCCTAATTTCATCAAACATAATTTAAAAAAAAAACACGAGAGATATATAAATTAATTAGAAAAAAAACAAAAGCAAAAAAACAAATACATACTCTTCCATGGCCAACTGAAGTAATTAAGTTAATATCCACCACCTGATAAAAAAATAAAAACAAAAGACAAAATTAAAACTAATTAAAATATTAAAAAATGCTACATTTAAAAGAGAGAGAGAGAGAGAGAGAGAGAGAGGTACTTAGATCCTGATCTACCACTTCAAATCTAACAAATAGAGAAGAAAATTAAAAATAAAATAAAATAGTATGGCCGCTTCACAGAAGTTATTAACTTAATTGACTTACTTAGAGGCAATCAATTGATAATGTAATGAATTAGTGAGAGCTACATAACACGTAATTAATGATGAAAATTAATTGAAGTGGTAAATCGATCGAAGTGATAATTAAGATTAGAAGACGTACTTGATGACTTTATTACAGTTTTGGATCTCTGGGAAGAAGAGAGATGATGTGGAGAAAGGGATGAGTCAATGTGAAGGTTAGAAAGGGTGTGAGAAATGAAGCTGAAACGGTCAGTTTTGAGGGCAGCTGGTTTTTGACATGGTTGGTTGCTTAGTGAGCGAGATTTCTGGTTGAGAGAGAGAGAGACGCAGATGAGGTCAGTTGTTTAATGTAGTTTTATGGGTTAATCTTTATTTTCTTATGTTGTTGTCTTTTGGATTTTACTAGTGAGGTTTTTTTAAAAAATAAAAATAAATAAAATTTATCCAGTGGTGAGATCTTAGACCAGTTAAGCTAGTTGAGAGTTATTTAGTATTTTTCAGTGATTATTTTTAAAATATTTTTTATTAAAAAATATATTAAAAATATATTTTTAATAATAATATATTAAAATAATATAAAAACACTAGAAAATATATTTTAATTAAAAAATAAAAATATTTAAAATATTTTTAAAACATAAAAACAAATAATTTTTTAAATTTAAAAACTAACTAACTAGTTAATTAATAATATAGACTGTTCTGAATTAAAAAACAAATAAAAAAAGAATTTACTAAGCCTTTTTAGTCAAAAATTTAAGTTGAATGGAGAGGATAAAATAACATAGAAAGGTAATTATTATTTTTTTAGAAATTTTTTTTTTCTTAATCTTGCTCTTGTTTTTTCTATTGACCAATAGAAAAGGCAAATTCTTTGAATACGCGCGGATGTTAAATGTGACTAGCCTATTTTATTTCTATAATCATTAAATTTGTTTACTTTTTAATGTCGGGGTTGATTAAAAAAAATTGATCTGAATTTCACTTCCCCTTATATTTTTATAAATTAATTTTTTTATCATGTAATTTACATGTTCAGTAGCTCTCTATATCTTCACTAGTGCATTTTTTTTTTTTTTATTCAAGATTTAAAATGTAAAGGAGAATTTATTTTATTTATTTTATTCAAGATTTAAAATGTAAAGGAGAAATTCAAATTAAATTATGAAAGGGTTTTTTTTTTTAATTAACCCTTTAGGTTAATTAGTAGTTGAGAACTGTCGATTTCAATATAAAATACTAGATTAGGTTATAGATATTTACTTTCACCTAGGAGAACTCTCCACTGGAAGGGCAATTTATTTAGGGATTGGAGAGTAATTAACCATGACTTCGATGATCATATTAGAGGGTGGAAATTACTCTTTAAAGCTACGTTGTCTCTTTTTTGGTTTGATGATATGTTATTTTCAAAGTCTATTTCCCTTCCACTTAAATTAAATCATTTTTTATTCTTTAAAAATCATCCATCATTATCATTGAATTCACGAGAACAATAATTCAACAAACCTCCTTTGAATTTATTGAAGAAAAATTCTTTATTACAAGTATGAAGTGGAGAGTAAAATGATATTTTTAAAGTATTTGGTTATGGTTTTTTTTTTAAATATTTTTTACTTAAAATTATATAGAATAATATATTTTTTATTTTTTAAAAATTACATAGAATAATATATTTTTTAATTTTTAAAAAATTATTTTTTATATCAGTATATTGAAAAAATCTAAAAAATTAAAAAATTAATTTAAAACAAAAAAAATAAATAAAAATCTCAAATCTTTTTAAAAATATTTTTAAAATATAAAAATAAATAGAACCGAATATATTTAGAAATGTGATGGAATATTACCTTAAATTTTGATTTTTTTTTACTTAGAATGACTATTTTGTTATATTTTCAATTTGTTTTGATATATTAGTGTAAAAAATATTTTTTAATTCATTTTAAAATATTTTTAAATTATTATGCTATGCTATCACAATCTAAACCCGACCCTAAAACTCACTCCTTGAACCATCTTCTCATGGATGACAAAGGGATCCGTATTTATTTACTATTTCAGATGATTTACATCTGCTTTGTTTAATATTTTTTAATTGTTTCTACCCACAACGACGAATGCTTCTGTGCAAAAATTCCAAACACAATCAAACAAAGAACACAGCTCCACAGGGTTTGAGAAACGAAAGGAATGCCTTAAAACTGTTTGAAAAAAAAAACATAATCTAATTGATATATAAATCGAGTAAAAAATACTACTTTATCTAAATTTAAAAAAAAAAGTAAAAGAGAGTTCAAAAACTTGTATTAATAATTTTAAAATCTGACTATAAATAAATTAAAATAAGTGGATGAAAAGCGTAATCAAGATTTAATTTTTATTATTTTATGAGTAAATAATTAAAATAATATTATTTTAATTATTTTTTGAAAAAATCAATAAATTAAAAATTAGATTTTTATTCAAGTTAATTATTTTTTTTAACTTAAACCAATCTGATTTTTTTATACGGGTTTTATAAATATGCTTGTCGGTGGGTTTCTGTGCGGCAAAAGTTTTTTTTTTTTTTTCCGGGTCCTTTGGAATTTAGGATCTTCAAAGTGTCACATTGAAAGCAGAGCTGCAGCACCCAGCCCTTAACACCGTTTGAGAGCTCTTATTTTTAAAAGTTTGAAATGTTTTTTCAATTAATATTTTTAATTTAAAGATATTAAAAATAATTTAAAAAAATATTATTTTTATATATTTTTAAATAAAAATATTTTAAAAAATAATTACAACCACTAAATTCTTTTATTTCAAGAAAGGCTCGTGGACAGTTAAGTTCTGTTCAGACCAAGCAATGGGACAAGCAGATGGGCCGAGCTGTGGAACCACGTTGTTTGCATGGAAGTCATGGCGCCTTCGGAGTTGGCAACAATGTACATATCAGTCCTAGATATCTTAAATTTCTTAATTATATCTTGAATTCAATGCATATTTCGTTAAAAAGAAAACATAATTATATTATTGTCACAGCCATTGTCTGGTTATCTTGTTTTTATAGTTGCCTCGGTAATTTTTACACCAGCACTCTATTCTTAGTAATTAGTATAATAAGTTTAGTTAAATAAAAACCCGCAAAATATTGTTTTTAACATATTTTAGTGTTTGTTTTGTATGATACTAAGGTAGTATCTATAATTATGATAATACCATAGTTATTTTTTAAAATAATTTTTACTTTAAAATACATAAAAATAATATTATTTTTAAAAAATTATTTTTGATATAAAGTAGTTTAAAAATAAAAAAATAATCTAAAACAAAATTTTTAAAAAAAATCATGAAATGGGGTTTATATATATATATATATATGTATAATGCTAACTGAAGTTTCTTTTTCTTCATTATCAATGTAATTGAGTGATATATATATATATATATGTATGTATAATGCTAACTGAAGTTTCCTTTTCTTCATTATCAATGTAATTGAGTGAGTTTTTTTTTAATAAATTACTATACAAATAATTTATTTAAAACTCGGTTGAGATGTAATTTCAATACATAAGAATTTATTGAGCAAGTATTATAATTGTAAAAAAAAAAATTAGATTCTCAGTATTTGTAATCTAAGCAAATATCTTACTGGTCTATTTTTCATCAATCTCAATATACTAGTAGCTCTCAATTTTCTTTTTGCAAATTAACTATTCAAATATCTACCAAATTTTAACAGAATCTTTTACAATACATTCAATTTTTTTGAACAATTTTTTTTCTCATTCGAAGAACATGAGATTTTTGTAAGAAATTACTTGGAGTTGATTCTCATAACAAGAGGAACTCGGACATATACAAGGTGCTCTTAGAGGGACTTGATCAGAAATTTCTTTTATTCTAGAATCTAATTGAATTTTACTGTCTTCCTAAAAGAGACTTTTTGAATCTTTGAGGGACTAGCTTGGAGTTTACACTTGAAAAGTTTCTAAAGCGAAGCACATTGCTCGCAAGTGAAGTGTGACTTGCGAGTGAGCTAGGGTTTATATCGCAGGGTTTAGCAATACCCCTCCACATTCCACGAGCCACTACCCTCCCTCTCTCTCACTCTCCCCTCCCTCCCTCTCACTCTCCCCTCCCTCCCTCTCTCGTTCAGCGAACAGCACAAAATCATGGCAAGTAACGACCAAACAGAACTCAACAAAGCTGAGAAATCAGTTATCGAGCAAGATTCCGATTCAGCATTCGAAGACGAAAACGAAGACTGGGATGATTGGCGAGAAGACGACGAAAATGACGGTGGAGAAAACGATAAGCCTTACATGTGTTTGTTTCTTGACTCACAGTTCAGTTCTTGCACTGAGTTGTTCGAGCACTGTCGTTTGGCTCACAAGTTTGATTTTGATGGGATAAGGAGGGAACTGGGCTTGGATTTCTATGGTTCGTTTAAGCTAATAAACTATGTCAGGTCTCAGGTTAGTTGGTTTTGGTTGACGGGTTTTGATCTGGGTTTTGTTTTGTTTTGTTTGCTTTGCTGTTGAGAAAATAGGGGGAAATGATAGGGAGTGAATGTTTAAAAAGTTAGAATCTTTAATCTGAGTTCTTGTAGTTTTTCTAGGAATTTGAGTGTCAACGTTGGTTTTGATATGGATTCTGTTTGGTTGCCGAGGAATTGTGGAGGACGGAAAGAAAAATTATTGTCTTTTGGTTTATTTTTTATAGTTTCCGTGTAGCCTAGTGTATAATATATTTCAATTCGAGCTGTATAGTAATCTCTATGCCTTCTGTTGTGGTTACTGGGATAGATAACTGGAAAATGAATTCATTGTTTATAAAATAAAAGTTATCAGTGGACCATATTTTATATTTTTATGTGGTGTTACGCTTTTATCACACTGAAAAGCTTCTACAATACTAATTAAATTCTAATATCTTTGCCCGTGTTTAGCAATGATTTTAACTCAATGCCTAGTAGTTAAATACTACGAGGTTAAGTTTAACTAGTGCAGCTTTTTCAAGAATTTAAATGCAAATTCACAAGGTAAAACAACTTATGGTTGGCTGGAAGCTAGTAAATTTATATACTGTTTGATGTTTTCATTTACCAGGTGGCAGAAAATAGATGTTGGAGTTGTGGGCTTGCCTGTCAACCCCCCCAGGATATACAGAATCATTCACATGAAACAGTAAAGTTGAAAGACATTAAGCCTTTGTGGGATGATGATAAATATTTGAAACCTTTCATGCAAGATGATCCGCTATTGTACAGTTTCAATGAAGATGAAGAAGGTGAAGATAATCATATGACGCTGGATGAACAAGAGGAACTAATGAGGGATTTGAGGAATATTGATGAGATGTGCATTGAAGATACC